ATGAATTTTTAATTTCCAACTGAAAGAGACAATTTACAATTTGATTTTAAAGTTTGACGGTCCCCAGCGGAGTCGCCAAGCTGTCGTAACCGGTTTTCGTCCGGGCACGAATTTTTTTAATCGGCGGGAAAATAATGTGAATAAAAAAATGATTTTTGATTTAAAAATATTTTGGGAGTCGCCATCGGCCTTTTGGGTCAGGTAAATCGAATACCTAAAAATCATCCTTTAAAAGAGTTTTTAAGAAAACATCGATTAAAAGATAAAATGATCTGCGTTTTAACCAAAAATTCGTTCTTTTTAATAATAAAAATGGATTTGTGGTCGGTTATGTTTGGGGAAGGATTAGCACCGATACAACGCCCAAAATTGGTACTTTTTAATTATAAATTGTCTCTAATAATAGAAATTTAAAAATTCAAAGATATATTTAATTCATAATTCTATTATTTCAAATATTTTTAAGAAAATATATAACATAATAAGATATTTACTTATTTAGAAATATCAGAAAAGGACTTCTAAGTGCCTTAAGACAGCTCTTTCTTCGATATATAAAAATAATATTAAAATATAATAATTTAAATAAAATTAAATTATAATTTTTAATATTTAATTTTAAAAATACTAGAATAGGACATCCAGTTGTATTAAGACTGCCCTTTTCTTTGATATTGAAAATAAATACACATTATTATTTAATATATATATATATATATATTTATGTGACTAATATGAAAATAATAATAAAATAATATAAAAGTAATAACAAAAATAATAAATAAATAATGATTAAAAAGCAATAATATTAATTTGCAAAATATAAAAAAAATCAGGGTCAAAAATGAAAAGAAACAAAATATTGTTAACTAAAAAGTAAAATATCAAAATTAAAGGGCATATTTTGAATTATTATAAAAATATAATTACTAATAGTTTAATTTAAACTAATTAATTAATAGGTGATTAAGATAAATATTAATTAAACTATGAGGGACTAAATGGGTATTTACTCTAATATATATATAAAATACTGGTAATGACTAAAACATAATAAAATAAAATTTGAAGACTGAATTAGAACGTTCAGAAGTTAGTTTCAGTGACTAAAATAAATAATTACAAAACTCGGATGGCTGCGGAAAGGGTTTGGCCATGCACGAAATTACAGATATACCCCTCCCAAAACGGCGTCGTTTGGAAAGGGGTATAAATTCCCCAAACGGCTGGCCCGAAGGGCCAGCTCTCTCATTTTTCTTTCTCTCTTCTCTCTCTCAAATGAGAGAACCAGAGTTCTCTCTGTCCTCTCTCTAGCTTCCCTCACCGGAGGGAAGCCGGTTATAGGCCGGCAGCCGTCTGCCTCTGCCGTCCTCACTGGCGGCCACCGCATCCGGTGGCCGAGAAATTTTATTTTTTTACCAAAACGTAGATCGAACTATCCTAATGACGGTTCCGGTGACCGTTTTTCTTAAAAAGCTCCTGATCGGATTAAATCTATGAAAATACCTTCGGGTTTTGGTTGTTTCTGGCGACGGTTGGGGTTCTCCGATGACAGAGTAAGTTTCTTTCCTCTCTTCTCTTCTCTTTTCCTTTTTTTTATACTGGTTCGTCGTTGACTGGGATCGTTGGTAGTTTTTTTTTCTTCGTTTTTTTCCTTCTCTCGTTTCTGTTTTTTTTGTTGCTCTCTGTCTTGCCGTCTGTTTTGCAGGATCCGGTGGCTTTTATAGCCACCACAGAGCCATGCTCGGACCGGTCCAGAGGGGGAAGCTCGGTGAGTCACCGAGCTATGTGGTGACTCACCCCATAGCCGCGACATGTGGGGGCAGCTGGCCTTCTGGAATCCTCTGTTGGCGTCTGGGCAGCAAGGTGTCATCGTCGTGGGGCAGCTGGCAGTGGAAACGTCAACAACGACGGCTGGATGTGGAGGTGACGCCTCGTGGATATTCTGGAATCTTGGAGGCGGCTGGGGCTCACTGGAAGCGGCGGCTGGGAGCTAGGGTTTGAAAATCCTAGCTAAAACCCCAAATCAGTTCAGGGTTTCCATTTGGGTCTGGGCCAGTTCTGGTTGGGCCTGGGATTTGGGCTTGTAAACGGGCCTCCAGTTTTGTAATTTATTTATATAATAATAATAATAATAATAATAATATATTAATAATAATAATAAAATTAATAATTTTAATTTTAATGAAAGTGAAAAATTAATGTCTACACAATGAATAACCCAAACATATTTTTAGGATAAAATACATGTTAGTACTTCAACTATTACTTTTATTTTGTTTTTATCATTCAATTATTTTTTATTTCAAAATCATATATGATGTTATTTTTTTATTTCATTTTGGTCATCCACCGTTAAAAAAGTAACATAACTGTTGATCTGGCAGCTTTTTTATTTTTTTTAAAGATGATATGGCATTACCATATGGTGACGTATCAGCATCACCATTAATGTTTTAACGATAGGTGACCAAAATTAAAACTAACATTAGGTATGATTTTGAAATGAAAAATAGTTGGGTGACCAAAAACGAAACAAAAATGATAGTAGAGGCACTAAACGTATAATTTACTCTTTTATAACTATTGTTATTTGATTTATCAATCCATTGATTAATTTAAATAAAATTTTATTATAAAAATAATTTTTTAAATCTGACTTCTTTCATTTATAATATCAAAATTTAAATTATTAAAAGATTTTAAGACTCGTCTCTTTAAATTAATTGATATTTTGTTTCACGCGTAGGTTCCGAGAAGAGGAAGAGTGGTAAAAAAAATTATGCAAGACAGGTCAGTTTCTCTTTTCTAAAGATCAGATCAGAAAAGAAATGTATAGTATGTATTTTGTAATAAAGATAGTGGTTGACATGTAAATAAGGGATTTAAATATGATATGTTCTAATCGGTTTGAAAAGTCATATGATTGAGTTTTGTAATGTTTTAAATGCATATATGTAATTGATAAATTTATGCGGATGAAAGCTTAGATTTTTTATGAGTTTATACGTATTTTTACGAAAGTTACTGTATCAGTATTGTAGCAGTGCATCGTCACACAATTTGTATTCGAATTTTTTCACTGTTTACGGTGTTGTTCACGGTACTGTTCATACCATATTTTACTGTTCATAAATATGTTTTTGCCTCAAAATTTTATAGTAAACACAATTGAACAATATATAATTGTATTTTTTAATATAAGTTCAAATATTATGTTATTTTGCATGAATAAAGGGTTTTAAATGTCAATGTGACATCTCGGATTCGTATCCGGATCGGATATGGGTTGGGGTGTTACACCTTATGTTTAGCGTAGTATTTATTTTAGTCACCCTCTTTGACTTGGAATTTAATGCTTGAGGTCTATTACCCATTTAATCCTTGCTGCTTCGTCCTTTTAGTTTTTGATCCCTGAATGTATTACTATGGTTTCTTGATGTTCTATTTTCATTGGTATAATATAAGTAAGAATATGTTATATATTTTTATTTATTTATGAAATTCTCGTGTATGAATGCTTAACATTTTGAAAAAATATTTTTATATATTTTATGTTCCTAATAAGTGTATATATATCTATAAATAAAATAAAATAAATGTTAGTCATGTTTGTACTAAATCTCTTTATTGTTTATATTTTATTATGAGTATGCATATATTATTCATTATATATATTTCGATTAATATTTATAAAAAAATTATATTTCTTTATTTGTTAATATCTCATTCGAATATTTTCAAGAACTGTATTTGTAGAACGGGCGTGAAAAATATCACTTGATCGAAGTGATGCAATCCGATACTACGTTCAAACATAATAGGAACTTGAAAGCGTGAATCCTTTTTTACGAATTTATGATAGTCATTATATTTTTATTTTATTTTATTTCATTTATTCAATTTTTATTATTATTTTATTTTCATAGTGTTTAATGTTTTAATTTTAATTTTATTTAATTTTAGTATTAAAGATGTATATTTTGGAAAAATAAATCATGATTTATTCTATACAAATTTTCGATATTAACTCTTTTTTAATTAATTCGAAGATAAAATATTCTTTTACGAATGAGAAATAGACGAGATAGTCTTCCCATTGGAGGATGTGCAAATCTGGTGATTTATTCTCGAATAAAGGAATGTTCCCTAATAAATAATTCAAGGCAAATTAATTAATCTTTAATAAAAAAATAAATCATGATTTATTTTATACAAATTTTCGATATTAACTCTTTTTTAATTAATTCGAAGATAAAATATTCTTTTACGAATGAGAAAGACGATAGATAGTCTTCCCATGGGAGGATGTACAAATCTGGTGATTTATTCTCGAATAAAGGAATGTTCCCTAATAAATAATTCAAGGCAAATTAATTAATCTTTAATAAATGGATCATATTTTAACTTTATATTCGATTTATAATTTCCATCATTACGACAATGTATAAGAGACTAAGTATCAATTTTGGGCACTGTGGGGTGTTAATCATTCCCTACGTGTAACCGAATCCCAAACCTGTTAAATCAGATTTTTGGTAAACGCATACCAATTTTGTCTTAAAAACAATTTTTCTTAAAATTGTTTTAAAAGATGTTTTTAGGTATTCAACTTACCTAGCCCAAAGATCGATGACGACTCCTACTCAATTTAATTCAAATTAATTCAACCCCAATTTTACAAATAAAAGTCATAATTGTTTTTTAATGATATTTAATTGTTTTTTTTAAATTGTTGACAGGAGTCATTACTGGATGTGCATCATTCAGTTATTGAATCCAGAAATCCAACGTCTGAAAGAAGCAAGGTTTACTCCATTTATGGTATAGGAAAAGGTGTTTCTTATTTCAATAAAAAGAAGATAACTGCTAGAGTATCATAAGTAAAGGGCAGAAGTTAAAGAGAAACGCAAAACATTATCTCACGACAATAGCAAAAAGGTAAAGATTACATTCATGCAATGCGAGATGTTTATTGCGGAAGCTTAAATCTGCCGTCGTTTGGTGTATAAACAAGTTCAGGTCATCAGTCTTAACCTCGTTATGCAGAGTGAATTCATACAAACGCCTAAAATCTTGAACAAAAACAGAGCAGAATATGTCATCCTTCTTCCCAACTGAAATTCAAACAAGAAACACCCTTGTTACTAACCAGCCATTGGATGGTTATATATGTACTCGATAGCAAGATTGCATGAGTCAATTTTGTCAGCCTCCTTGTCCGGAATTTCCAGCTTGAACTCTTCCTCTAGAGCCATGACAATCTCCACATTGTCCAAGCTGTCTAACCCCAAATATTTCTGGAAATGAACATCGGGAGTCACCTGCAAGTGATTGATAAAGATGATTCAATCACCCAATAAGTCATTTCGCAAATATAAGTTTTAACTCCCTGTTATAAGGAATGAAAATTTGATGATTAAGGTATACAAGAAGAAGATGCATTTGGACTGCAACAATCAAGAATTTGGAGATGATAAAGAGCAATATTTGGAAAAGAATACAGGGAAGAAACTAGCAAAGATGGGAAATAAAAGACAACGATGCTACTAGAATATACATAGAGGTATGAGATCATCTTGAAGATCATGCCTTTTAAGTTACTCTTGATATTCTACAGAAAAATGAAAAATTGAAGTGATAAAACGGTCAATTATTTTTTGCATAATTTGCTCCTAGTATTTTATTATAGCATTATAATGTCGAGAAAAAAGATTTAAAATCCATCTTAATATAGAGGAGAATTAATGAACTCGATGTTACCAAAAGTACACTCCCTTCCTACTCAGTAACAAATTATGCCCTCAAATATGCATGAGTTTCCAAGATTCAAGGTTATGCATCTTGTGGTGAAAGAACTTAAACCGAACAAAAGGCAACACCATGCATAAAGATCCATACTTCTTACCCAAAATAAGTACATTGAACTTAAATTGAACAAAAGCAAACACCGTGAATAGAAATCCATACTTTCTACCCTAAAATAAGTACATTGAACTTAAATCGAACAAAAGCCAACACCCTGCATAGAAATCCATAATTTATACCATAAATAAGTACATTGAACTAAAATATCAGAAACACGTAAAGAATGGTACCTCCATCGAATAGCTTATCCCAAAGTTATGCCAGCATAGATCCATCAAAATTGGTTTTTGAAACCATTCCTTTGTTTTTTAACCATGAATAGCAAAATAACCAACCTAAAATAACAATTAAAATTGCTTCCTATTGAGACAGTCAACCTGAAGTTTTCACTTTCACAAATGGAAAACCAGAAAACAAAAAATGCCCACAATAAAAATGCAATTAATAGATTATATAGAACAATCTTAGAATTTTAAGCCTATTTTCAATACCCACATTTCTTTTTCTAGAAAATCAAACAAAGCATCAGATCAACCAATCAAATGGGTACCTAATCCATAAAAAAAATATTCAACGGAGAGAAATAAGAGCAAATCTGATGCGTCAACTATAAATCGTGTCAAATATCAAGTAATCCCCGAAAAGGGTAACTGCAAAATCATGTATTTCTAAGCACCCAACAAACGGAACATAAAATTCAAGGACTGGGTCAGAACCAAAGAGGAAAAAATGATGCAATGGAAGTGAGAAAAAAGAGATAACCCTTGAACGGTCGACTTTGGGGAAGCTTTTGACAACGTCGAGGACTCTGTCGATTACTTCTTCTTTAGTAAGGTGATCGTCGTGCGATGAGAATAACCGGAGGAAACTCCATTGGGGCTGAGGCCTTGATCCGATCGCCGTTAGGGTTTGAACGGGAAGCCGGATGTGGCGAAGTACGGTGGCTCTTAATGCCATGTTCTAGTATTTCCTACAATTGTTGGCAACTGACGGTGAAAATAGCCATTTCGCCTTCTAGAAAAAAAAAAATAAGGCAACCGGGTGATCATGCGCTTTGCACGTGCTTCTTGCAGACATCATGATAATATGTAAAATTCTGAATTTAGTCCCTCTATTCTTTTACAATTTGATATTGATACAGTCCTTATATTTTGATTTAATATAATTTGATCCTCTTTATAATGTCGATACAAATAGATAACGCCGTTAACGAATTGATTAAAATGCTTTATGAAGTGGTGTTAAAATGTCAAAATAGTTAATTGTGTAACCTATTTTAACAAAATAAAGGGATCAAACCATAATTCAACCTCATATTAATGTGTTGAGTTAACTCGTCAACCCCTAAACTAAGCGAATATTTTATCAAATTGAATAGAGTGAAAAAAATTAAATTAACCGAGTTTATGAATATTATTTTATCATTTAAATTTTATTTATTTTTTCAGATTGAATTTATAAAATTTGAATCAAATCAAACTAAATATATTTGTTTGAGTTTTTGATCACTTTTAAATATAACTATTTATAATGTAATGGTATTGATTGGTTTCAATTTAGATGATTGTCTTTAATTATATACGATACATATATATTGTATTCTTTTTTTATATATATAAGTAAGATGTATAATGATATTTAATAAATTTAATACCATATAAAATTATGTAATATGTTTATAATGTTATTTTTTGGAAAAAGAACTTGAAGTACAAAATGTTGATGAAAGTATAAATGATTCAAGGGATGACTGAAAAAAAATAATTTACAAAAGTTGCAGTCAAAGGATCAAATTAAATAAAATACAAAGTTAAGAAGCTAGATTAAAAAAGAAAACACTTGTTATAAAAAATATGAATTAAAATTACACAAAATAAACTTAAAGACAATAAAAACAATAAAGAAACAAGAAAATAATAGGCTAAATTATGAAATAATCAAATTAATCAGTTAAAGACCATATCGATGTTGTTTCAATTTCAATTTTAGTTATTTAAAATTTATAAATTTAAATTCAAATCAAAATCGAAATATAAACTAAAAATTTAAATTAACTCAAATAATTTATTTTCTTAAAAAATAATTATTTGAATAGCAATCAAATTCCATTCATTCTTATCCATAACATTAACCCTTGAATCAATAACAATTTATTTAAACACATTTGAACTCACCCCATATATATATATATATAAGAACTCAAAAGAAATAAATAATACATATTTTTTTTTAAGTAATTTGAATTAAATACAAAATAATATTTGTTCAAAAATAATACGTTTACACTCTTGATATTCATGATACTTAAACTCGAGATCTAAAAAAATATTCAACAACTCTTTTACCACTTACCTCGCTTGGTTTGTGCATTTAAAAATAAAATAAAATTAACTCAAAATTTTAATTATACTAACAAAAATATGAACTTTGGTACATACAATGATATATACCAAATTTGATAGAAAAAATGTGGAAAAAAATCAACAACAACAACAACAAAACCCTATTCCCATATGCAATGGGGGTAAGGGGAGGTAGGGTAGTAGGCTGCCCCCAATGCCAGGTTGAGAGCAACTTCCGTGAAAGACCTCCGACAGTAATAAAGATAAAATGCAATGCATGTATAAATAAATAAATAAATAAAAACATAGTTGAAACAGTCTTCATATGTTCGTCTGTAATGGAGTATAATCCCTGCAAATAAATCTCTGCGTAAAAATCTTTGCATATATACAGAAAACGTAAGACCCAACTAAAATTAAAAAGAGAAAACCTGAAGAGGAGGATACACAATAATCAAGATAGCAAGTTACAAGAAGAAATAAAGTTAGATAGGTTAACACCTAAAACTAAGGCAACACTACTTCGCTACCTTAGTTCTAAGCCTTCATAAAATTTAATGACAGAAATGTATATAAAGTAGAAGTATGGAAATTACTACAAATGCATTAAAAAGATGACAGAGATTGTTACACCCTATGGCAGTGACCTGCACTACTCGGCTACCCTAGTCTTAAGTCTCCATACTTTCCTATTAGATGTCATGTCCTCGGTAAGGGCTAAATCCTTCAAATTAGATCTCAAGCAGTCTTCCCACTTTCGCCTTGGTCGTCCTCTCCTCCTTCTGGCACCGTCGACTGTAATCAACTCTACCCTCCTGACCGCATCCGACGGTTTTCGCATAAAGACATGACCAAACCACCGTAGTCTTCCCTCCATCAACTTTTCGGATACCGGCACCACCCCAAAGACATCCTAATAGCAGAGTTTGATGTCATGTCCTACAACGTCCTACCACATGCCTATCAAAACATTCTCATTTCTGTGGCCTCCATTCTCCTTACATTATCCTTCTTGATCGCCCAACATTCTGATCCATACAACAGCGTTGGTCTTATTGCCTTTCCTTTAAATTTTTGAGATACCTTCTTGTCACACAAAACTTCAGTAATAATAGTCCTCCACTTTATTCATCTCACTTTTATATGGTGTGTAATATCATCATCTATATTCATCTTCATGTATCATAGACTCTAGGTACTTAAAACAATAATGTATGTGGAAAAAAAATCGTAGGACGAAATCCCCTTGAATCTTCAAATCCTTCTCGCTTCTCTGTATTTCCTTCTCTCCCGAATATAAATACTCCAAAAGAGAGAGAGAGAGAAAAGGGGCAAGGGTTCTCGATTTCAGTCTGGTTCTCTACAGCAGCACCATCTACTTATTTCCGGTGAGATCTCGTCGTTGGATCCGATCTCGACCGGATCCGTAACATCTCGTCGAACTAGATCCAAATAATCATGGCTCCAGTGTCAGCTATGGCCAAATACAAGCTGGTTTTCTTGGGGGATAAATCTGTCGGAAAGACCAGTATCATCACTCGCTTCATGTACGATAAATTCGATAACACCTACCAGGTGTTTTACTTCATTTCATTGTTAGAAATTTTCTTTTACTTCGAATTATGATCCCTGTCGTAACCGGTTTTCGTCCGGGCACGAAATATTTATTTGGCGGGAAAATTGATGTGAATAAATAGTTTTGAAAATAATTTGGGAGTCGCCATCAGCCTTTTGGGTCAGGTAGGTCGAATACCTAAAAATTATTTTTTAAAAGAGTTTTAAGAAAACATCAAATAAAAAAAAATAAACTGATCTGCGTTTACAACCAAAAATTCGTTCTTTTTAATAATAAAAAGGGATTCGTGGTCGGTTACGTTTAGGGAAGGATTAGCACCCCTACAACGCCCAAAATTGGTACTTTTTAATTATAAATTGTCTCTATTATTAAAAATTTAAAGATTCAAAATATATTTAATTTATAATCATATTATTTCAAAATTATATATAAAAATTTATATTTAAAAATATCAGAAAAGGACTTCTAGGTGCCTTAAGACAGCTCTTTTCTTTGATATTAATAAATATTAATTTGAATAAAATTAAATAATAAATTTTTTATAATATTTAATTTTAAAATACCAGAATAGGACATCCAGTTGTATTAAGACTGCCCTTTCCTTCGATATTTGAAAAATAAATATTAAAATATAATAAAAATATTTTATGAAAAATCAAATTATTATTATATATTTATATGTTTATATAAGTAAAATTAAAACATAAAAAAACAATAATAAAAAAACAATTAGAGAAATAAAGCTTTATAATAAATGAAAATATTTAAAATTAGTGACTAAATTAAACTTAGCTAAAATTCTAATATCATTAAAATAAATTAAAAATATAAACTCGGGATTAAAATATTAATTATTTAAATTAAAGGACTAAATATGATATTTATCCTAAATATTATTTTAAATAAAGGACTAAAATAAATAAAACTAAAATTTAGAGATCAAATTAAAAGGATTATAAATTCGATTTAGTGACTAAAATGTAAGAGTTACAAGTTAGAATGGCTGCGGACGGGATTTAACAATTAAAAATTGCACAAATAGTCCTCCCCGAAACGACGTCGTTCGGGAAGGACTATTTAAGGTCTGAAACGGCTGGCCCGAAGGGCCAGCCTTCATTTCCCAGTTTCTCTTCTCTCTCAAGCAGAGAGAGAGACAGAATTCTCTGGCTTCTCTCTAGCTTCCCTCATCGGAGGGAAGTCGGTTACCGGGCGGCGGCCGTTTGCCGCCGTGATTACTACCGCCGGCCACCGTTTTCGGTGGTCGGAAAACACCAAAAATTCCCAAACCAAAGATCTAAATACCCTAAACCCGATTTCACCATTTTATCCTAAAAAGTTAGGGATTTCCTAGATCTAAGGTACCTTCGGTATTTTGGTTTTCCAGTGCCGTTTAGGGTTCTCGGTAAGGTAAACTCCTCCTCTCTTCTTGGTTTTTGCTAGTGGTTGTGAGTTGGTCTCTCTTTTTCTTTTGTATCTTTGCTCTCAGTTTTTGGTTGTTCTCTCTGCTGGTTTTGGTTTTTGTTCTCCGTTCTTCCTCCTTTTTTTTTCTTTTTTTTTGTTGGCAGGGGCTCGATGGCTTTTATAGCCACCACCGGTGATGGCTTCGGACCGGTCCCAAAAGGGGTTACGGCCGGCCTTCTGGAGTCTTCGGTAGACGTGGTGGAAGCTGGAACGTTGGTGTGGCGGTGGAGTCTTTTGGAAGCAGCAGCAGCGGCTGGGACGTGTCCCTAGGGTATCATCACCCTAGGGTTTGTGCTGGATGAGTGTGGGCCGTTGGATCTCTCAGATCCAACGGATTCAACGGCTGTGATGATGAGGCGGCTAGGGTTAGAGATCAAACCCTAATATGGGTTTAGGGTTTCTGGATGGGTTTGGGCCAGTTGGGTCCTTTGTAACTGGGCCGGTCCAATCTGATTTGGGCCTGTAATAATATTTATTAATAGTAAAATAATAATAATAATAATAATAATATAAAAATAAAAAAAATGAGTATCTTCAGCTGCCCCTCTTGCTTATTCTTGTGTTAAAAAGAATAGAGCAAAGACGAAAAGATAATAAGTTTTTTTTTATTTGACTTCACTTGATT